TATCGTGCGTTAAGTATTGTGATAATATCGTATCGTGGGATGTATGGTGATTCCCACCTCTACTGACCAACCAAAATCTTTCAACTGCATTTTATTCCAGCAGCATACAACCATACAAACTGTGCATGACACATGTTAGACAGCATGAAAGAATTACTATGCACTTAAAACAAACAAACCAGCCCATTAAACATAGCCAGCTATCATTTGTCACAGTCATAAAATGCAACTTTGCCTTACATGATAGCTCGGTCTGGTAAAAGCACGGCTCGAGTCGTGTGATTGTTCAAGGACAGACGAAACGAGCGTCCATAAAAGAGGCAATCTATGTATTCGAGCATCAGTGCACATTTATGGGCGTGTCTATGCGCATTCAGAATCACCAAAACGCTGAACCGCAGCGCAAGTGTAACCAACACTGACAGGCCCATTCATTTGGTCCTGTTTTATTTGAAGCTCGTCAAACTCCAGAAAGTATAGGTCCAAACCATAAACAACATGCCCAACAAACCACACCAGAACAAACCCAGATCTAAACTGGCTCGTCTACACTGCTTTTCAAATACAATCCAAAACCCATCCCCAGAAACCTTCTGACATGCTACAAACATGGAGATCGAGCAGCAACTCATAATACAACTCATTGATGCAGAGTGTAAAAAATGTCCAAGGCCCTGTCCTTCTGATGACTTCCAGACATAAATAATATTAAAGTAATTAGTATTTTCCTCTCAGTTTTTCCACTTGGAATCTTTTATGTGGAGGCTGCAGTAGGTTTTAATTAGTGGCCGGGCTTTATTGGGTGGCATGTCAAATGTGAAAAGAGGATGTTGGAATGGCATGAGATTAAAAGGATCCAACAACACGTGCGAGGGAGATGGAAAACACTCCCTTTCTGGAAAAAAAAGAAGCCATTTTTGCACATTCAGAGTCGAAGTTTCCCTTGGCCAAGATTTGAAAATTAGTAAAGAAAAAGCACTGCTCACAGATGATGAAAATCTGGATAAATGATAGGTTCGTGCAGATTATCAGAGGTGGAAGAAAGAAACTCTAACTAAAGCCAAGTGAAGTGTGCATTAAGACAGTGGTTAGCTAGTCATGCTGTATCAGAGCGACCAGAAAGCCAAAAAGCTAAGGCCCAGGGCCTGTAAACTCTTGAAAACCCACGCCCCAAACGAGGTGCCAAGCCACAAGAAGCATTTGCGTCAACTGGGAATAAAGAGAAAGAAGGGCCGGGGCCCTTCTAATTATAGAGTCTGGAAACGGAAGCGCAGGGCGATTAGGAGTTGAGGCGCTGCGGTCTGTTTATCTGGGAGCTTCCTCTCGCTCTCAAACCCTCTCTCCCCTGTTCTCCGCTCTCATTCACTTTTGCTCCTCTCTCTGTTTTGGTCGGGCCCTGCCCACCCAGTGGCTGGAGAGTCTGGCCCCTAGCTTTCTGACAGATGAGACTTGGCCACTGCCTTCTGGCCAGGGCCGGTGTTTCTCTTCTGCTGATGGTAGAGTCTGGGCTCCAAAAAAGTAACAGCTCAGGAAGGCTGGAGAGCTTTGCGAGTGCGAGTGCCCGAGGACTGGGGCTTTTGTGGCCTTGTTGAAATACAGAGGCCCTTGCCGAGAGGCGTCAGTCGGTTAGCCCACGGGAGGGCCAAATTAAAAAGCAGCTGAGCGGCCCGGTGGGTGAAAAGAGAAGGTTTGAAACAGCGGCTGGCTACAGCGGGGTTTGACACGTCCTATTTATAACACCTTGTCCCAGGGGTTACAGTGTTATTTACGATGTTTTAGTACCAAGATCGCTGGCACATGCTCTAAGACGTGCGCTAAACTGGAAGGGGTGACTTCTAATTTGCCATGTGTGCGAGACATGCGTTCATATGGGATATGAGGGAAGTGATATAATCATTTCCATAAATATCTGCTTTTGCTTTCTGGGGTTTTTTCCTCCTAAAATCTTTTTGTTTTGTTTTGCTGCAGGCTTTAGTGTCCCATCTCTGACCATCCAAACAGAAAACATCTGCTCAATCCCATTAATGTTGGGAGGATGTTTCATTTACAAAGTGGTGGGGCTAGCTTTATTCTTGACAAAGGCGGACGGGACGGGAGGGCGAACGGCTGAAAGAGAGAGAGAGCGAGAAAGGCAAAGAAATAAATGGAAAGAAGAGGGTGATTTCCCTACTTGGCAAAGTGGAACGCCACAACAAAACTAGTCCACTTTTTAATTAACAACACTATGCTGAAAAAAAAAAAAAGCTTTGAAAATCGGGAAATTCTCAAATTATAACCATGTGGAGGGGATAAAGCTTACAAGATGGAGTACTTGGGGGATTCGGATAGCCTCGCTGTTACCAGGATGCATAAACTTCAGAGCAAATGAGCCCATTTACTTTGAAAGACTATCCATCATAAAGAGGAGGTTTTGTCTTCAGGGCTAGGAAGGACAGGACGTTATGTCTGTCTGAATGGATTTGTACATATACTGGACATATACAGCGCACAGCCACAATATTAAAAGCAATAAAAAGTGAAGAGGACAACGCTGATCCTCTCATTATAGGAAATCTTGGGTCCTAACTAGGGATGGGTA